CACTTTAGATGCCTACATACAAAAAACAGAAAGAGAGCACAGCCACAAATTCACAAGCCATCTTATGGAATTAGAAAAAGAACAATCTAAGCATAAACTCAGCAGAAGAAAAGAAATATCCAAAATTGAATCCAACATTAATGAAATTGAAAGCAAAAGAACCATTCAGAAAATTAGTGAAAAAAGGAGTTGTTTTTTAAAAATAAATAAATAAATAAAATAGATAAAACTTTGACCAGACTAAGTAGAAACAGAAAAGTAAAATTTCTAGTAACCTCAATCAGGAATGATAAAGGGGAAATAACTGATGCCACAGAGATATAAGAGATTATCTCTGAATACTACAAGAAACTCTATGCCCAGAAATTTTACAATATGAAGGAAAGGGATCAATATTTGGAATCACACCCTCTCCCTAGACTTAGCCAAGAAGAAACAGAGCTCCTGAACAGACCAATTTCAAGCACTGAGATCAAAGAAACAATAAAAAAATCTCCTAACCACAATTTATTGATCCATTTGTGGATTGATGGGCACTTGGGCTTCTTCTATGACCTAGCAATTATGAATACTATGCAGCCATAAAGAAAGATGGAGACTTTACCTCCTTCATGTTTACATGGATGGAGCTGGGAAATGTTCTTCTTAGCAAAGTATCTCAAGAATGGAAGGAAAAGTATCCAATGTACTCAGCCCTATTATGAATCTAATTTATAGCTTCATATGAAAGCTATAACCTAATTATAGCCAAAGAATATAGGGAGGGGGGAGAGAGGGGAAGGGGTGGATGGGTGAAAGGAGGGTGATTGAAAGGATCACCTCTATGGTTTATCTCACAAGGGTACAAGTGAGTCTTTCTAAAAGTAGAATATAAATAACTTAACACAATAACTAAGAAAATGACATGAAGACTAAGTTAACTAGTTTGATGAAAATATTTCAAATTGTATATAAAAACACCACACTGTACCCCATGGTTGCATTAATGTACACAGCTATGATTTAATAAAAAAAAAAAATCTCCCAACCAAAGAAATGCTCTGGTCTGGATGGCTTTACACCATGTTCTATCAAACATTCAAAGAAGAGCTTATTCCCATACCATAGAAATTATTCCCAAAAAACTGAGGAGGAAAGAATCTTCACCAACACGTTCTATGAAGCAAACATCACCCAGATACCAAAACCAGAAAAAGGCCCAACTAAAAAGGAGAACTTCAGACCAATTTCACTAATGAATATAGATGCAAAAATTCTCAACAAAATCCTAGCCAATAGATTATAGCTTATCATCAAAATGTCATACATCATCAACTAAGTTTCATCCCAGGGATGCAAGGCTGGTTTAACATATGCAAGTTCAGAAACATTGTTCACCATATCAACAGAACCAAAAGCAGACATTATATAATCCTCTCAATAGATGCAGAAAAAGCATGCGATAAAATCCAGCATTCTTTTCTAATTAGAACACTGAAGAGTGTAGGCAAAGGTGGCACATTTCTTAAACTGATGAAAGCCATCTATGACAAACCCACAGCTAATATTTTACTAAATGGAGTAAAACTGAAAGCTTTTCCACTTAGAACTTGAACCAGAAAAGGTTGTCCTCTGTTGCCACTACTATTCAACATAGTACTAGAAGTTCCAACCAATACAATCAGGCAAGAGAAGGTAATAAAGGGCATCCAAATGGGAGAAAAAGAGGTCAAACTCTCCCTATTTGCTGATGGTATGATCTTATACTTAGAGAACCCCAAATACTCAATCCAAGACTCCTGGAAGTGATAAAAAGAAAACATCTTAAGTAACAGGTTGAGATATAAAATCAATGTCCACAAGTCAGTAGCCTTTGTATATGCCAATAACAGCCTAGATGAGAAGCTAATTGAGGACACAACCCCCTTTAAAATAGCTTCAAAGAAAATGAAATGCCTAAGAATATATCTCACAAAAAAGGTGAAGGACTTCTATAAAGAAAATTACAAAACCCTAAGAGAAGAAATAGCAGAAGATATTAACAAATGGTAGAGCATACCCTGCTCACAACTGAGAAGAATCAACATTCTTAAAATGTCTATACTTCTCAAAGCAATCTACAGATTCAATGCCATCCCAACTAAAATACCGACATCATACTTTCAAGACTTGAAAAAAACAATTCTTTGTTTTGTATGGAACCAGAAGAAACCCTGTATAGGTAAGGCAGTTCTTAGTAATAAAAACAAGGCCAAGGGCATCAACCTACCAGACTTTAGGCTGTACTACAAGGCCATAGTGGTCAAGACAGCATGGTACTGGCACAAAAAAAGAGACATAGACATTTGGAATCAAATGGAAAATGAGGAAATGAAACTAACATCTTACAGCCACCTAATCTTTGACAAACCAAATAGGAACATACACTGGGGGAAAAACTCCCTATTCAATAAATGCTGCAAGGAGAACTGGATGTCCACATGTAAAAGACTAAACTGGACCTGCACCTTTCTCCACTTACAAAAATTGACTCAAGATGGATAAAAGACCTAAACTTAAGGCATGAAACAATAAAAGTCCTCAAAAACAGCATGGGAAAAACACTTGATGATATCGGCCTCAGGAAAGACTATATGAAGACTTATGAAGACTTATGAAGACTTCCATGGCAATTGGAACAACAAAAATAAACAAATGGGACTTAATTAAACTGAAAATCTTCTGTACAGCTAAGGAGACAACAACCAAAGCAAATGGACAACCTACACAATGGGAAAGAATATTTGCATATTTTGAATCAGACAAAAGTTTGATAACTAGGATCTACAGAGAATTCAAATTAATCCACATGAAAAAAACCAACAATCCCACATAGCAATGGGCAAGAGAAATGAATAGAACTTTCACTAAAGAAGACAGACGAATGGCTAACAAACATATGAAAAAAATGCTCATCATCTCTAGTTATTAGAGAAATGCAAATCAAAACCACCTTGAGATATTATCTAATCCCAGCAAGAATGGTCCACATCACAAAATCTCAGAACTGCAGGTACTGGCATGGATGTGGAGAGAAGGGAACACTTTTACACTGCTGGTGGGACTGCAAACTAATACAACCTTTTTGGAAGGAAGTATGGAGAACCCTCCAAGAACTCAAGCTAGACCTCCCATTTGATCCTACAATCCCATTACTGGGCATCTACCCACAAGAAAAAAAAATCCTTTTACTATAAGGACACTTGCAGTAGACTGTTTATCATGGCTCAATTTATAATCGCCAAAATGTGGAAACAGCCTAAATGCCCACCAACTCAGGAATGGATTAACAAGCTGTCGAATATGTATACCATGGAATACTATTCAGCCATTAAAAAAGAGGGAGACTTTTCATCCTTTGTATTAACCTGGATGGATGTATAACACATTATTCTTAGTAAAGCATCACAAGAACAGAGAAGAATAAATCCTATGTACTCAATTCTGATATGAGGACAATTAATGACCAAGTACATGGTGGGGGGCAGGGAAGGGGAGAGCAGAGAGAAAGAAGGAGGGAAAGGAGTGTGAGGGTTATGCAGTGTGACACACCTTTGGGGGGTGGGACACAATTATAAGAGGGGCTTTACCTAACAAATGCAATCAGTGTAACCTGGCTCTTTGTGCCCGCAATGAATCCCCAATGATAAAAAATAAGAACCAATAAATCTAGTGAAATAAACTATTATATAACAGTGCTATTTCTCAGCCAGACTTGATGGTTCATGACTGTAATCTCAGCACTTAGTGACACCGAGCATGGAAGATCACTTGACACCAGGAACTCAAGATCAGCCTTAACAACATACAAAGACCTTGACTCTATAAAAACTTAAAAATTAGCCAGACATACTACCTCACAACTGTAGTCAGAGCTACACATAATGCTGTAAGGTGGGACAATCCAAAGAGCCCAGGACTTTGAGCTGCAGTGGGGGATGATGGTGCTATTCCAGTCTCCTCTGGGCAAGAGGGGGACAATACAGTGAGCCATCTCTGAAAAAAAAAAAAGAAAAACACTATTCCACTCTCTTTGTCTATTATACTCATTTCGCCACTTCCAAAATTTTAAAATTCACTGTGACTCACATGATTTGAACCCAAGCAAAACTTCACTTAAAAAATGACAACATTTGTAATCAACATTCCACTTTGTTTCACTTTAACTAAGGATAATTTGTTTGGATTAAATTTTAGTCAAACTTCAGTCTTAACCAAGAAAAAGTTTCCCTCTCTCTGCTCAAAAATGTCATAAAGCAGCTTGTTTTTTATGTCTCCAATAAATCTTTTCTTTTTTTTTTGTTTTTTCTTTTATTGTTGTTGTTTTTATTAGAACACTTACGCAACTAAAAGTAGACCTGCCATTCAATCTGCAAATCCTCTACTGGGTATATATCCAGATGACCAAAAATCACTTTACAACAAAGACATTTGCACAAGAATGTTTATTGCAACCCAATTCAGAATTGCCAAGTCATATAAACAGCCCAAGTGCCCATCGACCCATGAATGGATTAACAAATTGTGGTATATGTATACCATGGATTATTATGCAGGCATGAAAAAATCAATATCTCTTTTCTAAAAAGAATGGCAGGACTCTAAAATGGTTTTATTTTAGGTTGTGTGGAGATTACACTTACTTAAAATTCTACAGTTGACTTACCAGGAAGCTCAGAGTTCAGGATCCTTCAGGGAGTAGTTCTTTAAACAGGTACAGTTGTCAATGGTTACAGGGCCCTTTGCCAGATAATTAATATCTGGAACTTTACAAAAACTCTCCTGCTCTCTAGATTCAAAGAACTTCAGGAAACTCCTTGCAGTGCTCTGCTATAGCGGTGGGACCAGACCCATTGAGGAGAAAGTTGTGTCTGAATCAACACAGGATTCCTGTGCATTACTGGAAGGAACCCTTTTCTGCTTCTGAACTGATCTCCATAAGGTCACTGTGCTAACACTTGGGGATCACCTGTTCAGCCCCAATGGCCTCTGAGGTGCTTCTGGATCGAGTTGGAAGCCTGGGAAGATTCCAGATCCTTCAGCTGGCTTTCTTTTGTATCATCAGCATCCTACTGTTCCCTCATGTTCTGCTGGAGAACTTCACTGCAGCCATCCCTGGTCATCACTGCTGGGTCCACATCCTCAACAATGATACTGTCTCTGAGAATGAAACTGGGACCCTCAGCCAAGATGCCCTCCTGAGAGTCTCCATCCCACTGGACTCCAACCTGAGGCCAGAGAAGTGTCGTCGCTTTGTCCATCCCCAGTGGCAGCTCCTTTACCCAAATGAGAGCTTCTCAAACATGAGTGAGCCAGACACAGAGCCGTGTGTGGATGGTTGGGTATATGACCAAAGCTGCTTCTCCTCCACCATTGTCACTGAGGTAAGAATCTTCATGTTCTGCTTTGTGATTGAGGTGTTTGGAGGCAACACACAGAATGTAATTGCTTCATACATTTAGTTTCCAGATGGGGGTGCAGTCAGCACTTTTTTTATTCCTTTAGCAGGTAGCAATTGCTTATCTGCTCTATTGTACAGTCTAGTGTATGAGTTTTTTTTTTTTTTTTT